TCATAGTGCCAACCGTCTTCAACGATGGGCGACTACACTACTGAACTACAACTTCAGTATCCAATACGTCAATACCAAAGATTTTGGACAAGCAGATGCATTATCCCGCCTAGTTTCATCACACAATTCGGAACCAGAAGAACGAGTAATCGCAGCCATTGATGCGGAAATCACTGCAGAAATCTTGGACAATTGCAGCCACCTTCCGGTTTCCTTCAAAACTATCCAGAATGCAACGTCAGCTGATTCTATTCTGACACAAGTAATTAACTACACACAATCTGGACACTGGCCCAAAATCGACCGCAATTCACCACTCTTTCACTTCTACAATCGACGGGAAAGCCTATCAACTATAAATGGATGCTTGCTGACATCAAGTCGTATTGTTATCCCTAAATCACTTCAATGTCGAGTTCTACATTCGTTACACAAAGCCCATCCTGGACAAACAAGAATGAAAATGCTGGCGCGCAGCTACGTTTACTGGCCTGCACTCGACGCAGATATCGAACGCCTTGTCAGGAATTGCACCACTTGCGCAGAAATCGCCAAGAATCCTGTGAAAACAGAACTTAGTTCCTGGCCGAAAGCGACCTCATCATGGACCAGAGTACATGCCGATTTCGCTGGACCACTTGATGGAATCTACTATCTAGTAGTCGTGGACGCATTTTCAAAATGGCCGGAAATCTTGCAAATGAGTTCAATTTCAACATCTGCCACCATCAAGGCGATGAGAAGAATTTTCGCACAATTTGGAAATCCACATACACTGGTCACAGATAATGGCACTCAGTTCACTTCTACAATGTTCACTGAATTTTGCCGCCAACGTGGGATCAGACACATTCGCTCCCCTCCTTTCCACCCACAAAGCAACGGACAAGCAGAACGTTTTGTGGACACTTTCAAACGAGGGCTCACTAAACTGAAGAGGGAGGGACCATCAACCGAAGCTTTACAAGACTTCCTCATGGCTTATCGCGCGACTCCTTGCCCATCTGCACCCAACCACTTGTCACCAGCCGAAAACTTTCTGGGACGAAAACTTCGCATCGATCTGGACCTGATGATGCCACAGACAACTGACAAGATGGGACCACGTGATGCCAAAATGGAGAACCAGTTCAATCGACACAATGGATCACAACGACGATACTTCAAGGTTGATGATGCTGTCTATGTGAAGGATTACCGCGGAACACGAAGCACTTGGACTCCCGGAATCGTCACTCGACGCCTTGGAAATGTTATCTATCAAGTACGCTGTGGAAATCTACTGTGGAATCGACATGTGAATCAACTGAAACCACGAGACCACACGCGCATCGCCGACCAACTGAAGGACGTGTTCGACATTACACCTGTTCATAACGAGTCTACTACTATTATGGACCAAGCGATGCTGAATGCAGAAGAGACGCCGCCTCCTGTAACTCAACCGGCTACACAACTTCGACGCTCAACACGGATTCGTCGCACGCCACCTCGCTTCAATGTGGATCCGTCGAAGAAATCTTACGTTCATTAGTAAAAAGGGGAGGTGTTATAGAGGGCTCACCGCTCACAAGGGGAGGTCTCAGGTGTACCCGCGTTTTCTCAAAACGGTTTTTCCTAGAACCAAGTGGGAAAAATTCCCATCGCCACCATTTGTTACAGATGTCCAGCGATACTTTAAACGCGTAGCAGCTCTTCCGCTTTTTCGAATATTTCACCTAAACAAATGCAATTTTGTTCTTTTCGTTCTTATCAATAGTTTTTGTGCATCTTTTTCCCATGTGGCCAATCACTACAACTTTTGATATTCAATTAAATGTCACCTAATGTTGCAAACAAGTGGCATGTATTTCCATTCGAACTTGGTGAAATGAAGGGCAGGGATCCCACAGATTTCACATAACTTTACCCATGATTCATGTATATTGCCCCCCAACGAGTCGGCATGAATTGGTGATCTTTCGTGCAGCGTATGCAACATGTTCACACCTCCATTTCTTCTTCTTGTTAGACTATCTTCCTATTTTCATCTTGAAACGCCATCTCTCCAAGTTGTTTAAGTGTTCGATCGAATCCCGAACCTAAGAATAAGATCACTCCTTCTTTTCTTTCTGCAATGAACCTCTACTTAGCATTTTCAGATTTTCCAAAATTATATTCTTGTTGAGAGACACATCAGGCCACAAAGCAGGAATTTCTCCAGGCCTTGGTGCGGCGAAGGAAGAGATGCAGATGTGGCAAAGGACGAGCCGCGCAGCGCGTGCTGTCCGATATGAGACTTAGTATGGTACACTCTCCTTAACCCTGACGCCTAACCGCTACCGGTATGCGCTGCGACTCGTCCTTTGCCGCGTCTGCGTCTCTTCCTGCGCCGCGCGACGTGCCTCGTACTTAGGGGACACCCATTTATCAGCATTACAGCTTTTTCCTTCCTTTATGGTATTCCTGAAGGTCTTACCCGCTGAATTTTTTGACTATTCTGACCAGGAAGGGATGGTAGGTCGAAGTGGCCGTTTGAAATGAGATGCATTAATGATCCTGTGTCTGTGTTTCTTAACGATGATTCCAATCTGTCATCCAAGTTTGCCGAACGATGCTGTGAACAAAATTACGAAGGTTTTTTTCACCGCAAGTAGTGTGATGGCCTAACGGTTAGAGAGGCGGATCCGCACGACCCAAGTCAAAAGATCGGAGTCTCTCACTAAGTTCTCTTTGCTTGTCACATAGCATGTTATTCTGGTAGACTGTCGTTGTTCGTTGAATTTTCACTTTAATAACGGCAATCAACCTAGCTGATTCACACGTTATGCCAGCCACGCACCTTCCGGAGGTGGGCGGTCCTGGATTGACCAGGCGGCCCTGGATTGAAACCGAACGCCCCGGGGCCTTAACGGGGTTTTTCAAGGTGGGAAGTTGCTGCAATGTGTGCAGCTACCCACATACAACCTCCAGGCACGGGAATTACTTCTCTAGCGTGCCTGAGCCCGAACCTATTGCCTTAAAACAAGTCCAATCCCCTCAGAGCAGCAGCTTTCTGCAAGATTAGATTCCATAGGCGTGCTGAAGTGGTTCGCAAATGTATTATGCGAGTTTTTGAAAAAGTGCAGAAAACCCACACTCTTAAGGGTACGAACCCTTGACCTTGCAGTTACGAGACCGGCATAGTATCCACTAGACCACCGTCCCTCATGCGAGCTGAGCATGTGTACCATATTCTTGCTGAGAACTTGGGTCTGCTCCGTATCACAACAGCTTCCGTAACTTGGTTCGAAAAATCGTTCAGCAGATATGGAGTACAGTTTTGGAGTCAGAGTCCGATAACCTTTCGAGTTATATGCATGATATTTTATTTATATTTATATGGCCACTTCGACCAACCTTCCTTCCCTGGTAAGACTAGGGCCAATTTCCTTCAGCGAGAAAGCGCTGCAAAGTGCCACTGATTCGCCGCCATGCCCTAAAAATCACGTGACTCTGGAAAATCACAATCTTAGCTGTTCTTGTAGAGGCAGATATACAGCAAGGAGGAGTTTGTAGCTTACATTATGAGATTACGGTTTGAATGGCAGACGTGACGAAGTAACGTTCATGATCCGTCCAATTCTGCGCGGATATGAGCGTGCTCAATTGTGGCCAAATAAAGGCAATCGTTCGACAAACAGCCCATCAAGAGGTGTTTTGGAATAAAAGACAACGTTTTTGATACGGTATTGGTACTATGACTGCCGACATTTCCATTTCACTGCATTCATATCTAGCAGCATTTCTTCTTGCCTTTAATAGCATCATCGAAGGGAGCACATTTACACTTTACGGTTTCTTTGGGTATCTTCTTCAGTGCTGATATAGCTGGCTGCGCCGCATTCGCGTGCATCACACGGGACGCTCTTGGTATAAAAGCGAACCATCAATAAACTAGTGTAACTAGTAACACAGTTGCCCGGAAGCAAGAGATCGGTTACGAATCCCGGGCGGGACGAAAGTTGTGGCCACAGACTCAGCATTCGTGTTAATTTCGGTGAAACTCCAGTTCGGGGGGGCCACTCCATTTTTTCTCCAATACTCAAGATAAGGATTAGAGGGCTCACGACACGTAATCGACTCATTTAAAGTAGACTTCTGATAAATATTGGTGTAATGGGTGAGAAACCCTGAAACGTTTTCACATTTCCGCCTGCCATGACCCAAGGAAACGGTCCTGGACCAGGAGAAAGGACACCTCCGCAAAGGGCTAAGGGTGCAGGAGCTCCAGGGTGGATCACCTGTGCAGAAAAGTGGATGGGATGTGGGCAGGTAGTGTGGAATGTAGGACATCCACCGGTCCTTATCAAAAGTACGCTCGAAATGAGTCGTTCACTTATTATCTTATCCGTAGTGTTCGATAGCCCAAAGAACTGCTCTCTAGTACTACGGATAAGATAGCAATGGAGTGGCCCCCCCGAACTGGAGTTTCACC